CCCCCCCCAGTCTGTAAGAAAAATAGTGAAATAGTGCAATCGATCAGCAGGGCCAAGGAACAACCACGTGGGCACCCGCCTGCTCCCCCCACCCCCCCGGACACCCACTTACCCCGCTGTGGCTGCTGAGCTGGTGCAGCCCCACGCCCTGCCCGCCTGCTCTCCGTGCTCCTGTCACACAACACCCACCGGGCTGGTCACAGAGGCGGGGGGGTGACAGGATGCTGAAGCAGAACTGGATTTGTTTTTAAGGTCTGCCAGGGCTCTGCTCTACTGTGTCCTCACGCCCACCCTGGTCAAGGCTTCAGCTGGCACCTCAGCTCCTGTGTGCCAGCATGTGCAGGCTCAGCTAGAACTTGTCTTACTGTTCTGTTTTGTAAAACTCAACCTTCAGCATAAATGCAGACCCTGTGCTTAAACCAGCGTAACATTACTTGAGGTCACTGCCAAAGCAAGGGCCTGAAGACCCTTGTTTAGTTTATGCAACACCAGAGAAGTACTGAAATACACTTAGGTATGAACGTGGAACATGTCCTGAATACTTGAAACCTGCAAAAAAAAAACCAACCCCACAGCTCATCTGCAAGCTGTGGTTATACTACGTTGGTGTGACATTCTCGTGTTCGACAAGAAATACACGATCCACGGTCCTGAGACAAACTGTCCAGCGCTTTGAGCACAACATCTGGCATGTGGTCTGTGATCATCTTGGGACTTATTAAAATGCTGCTGAAGACTGTTTCAGTTGACCACCTTGCTGTATATTTAACATCTGAAGAGCACAACCTAAAAAAAACAGAAACGCACCACACGTACAACAGCCCAGACTGCCAGAACCGGAGCTCAAGGCCAAGCCCAGAACAGGCCCCCCCAGACCCTGCTCAGGGAGGCATCAGAGCGCGGTTCTGACCTGCCCCAGCCTGCAGTGTCCCTGGAGGCAGCGCTACGCCCTGCACCAGTGACAGCAGCTGTCAAACAACCCTGCTCAAAGAACCAGGGGAGGAGCCTGAGGGGTTAAGTACTGCACATTCACACGGTTAATGTCACATTTAGGGAATAAGACACAGTGGCAGCAGTAGGAGACTAGACACTAGATTTAAGGCTGCGTGTATGTATTTAGGATTTTATTTTACAGAACAGTGCATGATGGGGGCTCTTGTGTGCTAGTCCAATTAAGAAAAAACATGATTAACTGCTGTGCTGTGGAATAAATGAAAGAAAAGAAATGAACTCAAAAGTAAGGTAGAAGAGCAACCCTTGAGAAACCATGCCAGGCCACAAGTGTTAAAACATCTAACTTGTAAAACCAGTATCAATATTGTTAAACATTAAAGATGTGAAGCTTAAATAAAATATTAATCTACTGAACAGGAGGAAAAAAAAGTGGACTTCTCCATCCCTTTTCTTCCCTCTTCTGTACAGTACAGATTTCCCACCCCCCCCCGTAAGTCAGTCTTATGCAAGTTACAGATGCTCTTATTTCCATTTGGGAATGAAATGAGAGGATATCAAGTACTGCCTAGCTCATGGGCTGTTTCAGGTTGTTTTGTCTAAAAAACTAGTATCAATGAAACACAAACAAAAAACCCATAAACACAACACTGCCCCAACAAAACCCCAATCCTCGCCCTTCCAGCAGTTTCAGCTTTTCTGCTGTCTTTGTCTCACCTTCCTGCACACAGGAAGCCAAGGACAGGGAACTAGAGGCTGCATGGGCACTCTGCTTACTGGGGCAACTGCACCTCTCTAGTATGGCTCGGCTGGTGTTATGGGCAATAATTTGCCTCTTTCTCATTGCCAATATTCATGTGACTACTCAGTAATGAGGTATTTTGTTATCACTTCACTCCTACCAGGACATAAGACAGTTGCAGGCAGGAACTGCAGCCTGCCAAAGCTGAACCTCACAGTCATCTCATTTAAAACCATCCCCTGAGCACATGCAATGTCTGGGCAGAATAAGGCACGCAGGCATGAAGAGAAACAGTTTCCAGGGCCTGAAGTGGAACAGAAAGAAGCAGGGCGGCAGAGAGTAAAAACTGAAAGGCTGCTTAATGTGTCATAACCACAGATGGGTATTGGAGATGCAGATGAGATGCAAAGCTGGACATGTGTACTTACAAAGTGAGAAACAGCTTTAAGATTTTAGGAAAACAGGACAGGGGTGTTCATTATTCTACTTACCTCCTAGAGCTGGATTCTTCTACAACATGGATAATCTTTCCAGGAAGATACAGATGAGGATACTGAGGTGGTGAATTTAAGTGTGACTCATCCTCAAGGGCGTTGTATGAAGGTGACCGATGAACCATTAAACTCTCCTCAGCCAGCAGTGGCTGGGTAAGGGCATCTTGGTTTCTACCATCCAGCTCAGTTGGGAAGTTATCTGGATCTCCTCCAAATACTTCGTACCAACACCCCCGCAGCAAAATCTGGTACTGAAATCAGAAAGAAACACAGCTGAACTGAGGTTTGGCACCTCTTCAAGTGACTTGTTCTAGTTGTGTGCTTGCACACACACCATCTGAAACTACAATGAAAAGATTAAAAATGACTGTATGCATATGCTCCCCAAACTTCTTGTTTGAAAAAAGCCCTTACTGCACTCTCCCCACAGTAATATCTACTTCACTGATATCTAACCCAAGTCACTAGTAACACTACAGAAAACATGATGATCTTCACCAGACAAATGTGTGGAATCTGCTCTGCAGATTTTTCTTGCACCCGTAGCTTCTAACCGTCTGTTATCTTATTCTGTATTTACAACATCACCCAGGCCCTCCACATGACTCCTCATCCTGGGACTACACAGAAATCTTGTGGGTAAAGCAGATTTAACTTTAGCTGTTCGGAAATGGCAGTTCTGAATCTTTAAGCCACTCCCCTATACCTCCAGTATCATCTCGCCCAACATCACACAGTTTCAGCACTTTTAAAACTGTGTTTTCACTAACAGTAAAAAGAAGAGGTAAGCAATTACTACTGTTACAGAAAAATGTTTGCTTTCCAAATGGATTCTGAAGATAAAATGTAAGTAAAAGAACTTACTTACTGATACTAAATGGTTATTAAAGGAAGTAATCTTACTGATTTTTAATAATTTTAGATGATTTTCCCCCCATCTTTATTTTTTAATAGTTTCCTTTATCAGCATTATCTAGCAAAGAGATCGTTTCAGGTCTTGGATGTTACACACAGGTATCTTCCAGGTCTTTCTGAATCTTAATTTCCAACAAGACAGCTTTACAGGATAAGAGACTAACACAAATGTTGCCAAATTAAAAACAAACTTTTGTTCCAAAACACAACCGTAACTCTCATCATTAAGATTAAAAACACACACACCAATTGTCATTTCATTAAAGCTGGGGCTTAACCCAGGTAACAATTCCACTGACTTTTAACCAGGAACTGCATTTAGTTACCTTGGGTCTGTTGCAGTTTGCCACAATTCTCACTATTCTCCTCTTTAAATCCTCCATGTTGGGCATACTTAACCTGTATAAACACATGTAGAAGAAAGTAAAGCAAAACCTCCTATCCTCTGCAATCTGACACATCCCTGAAAGAACAATTTAAAAATATTTCCATCTCACCTTGCAACAAGGTCCTTTCCAACAATGACTGAAACAATGAAATGCTTAGTGTAATCTGCCAGTGATTTGCTTAAAAAAAAAAAAGATGCACTTTAGATATACTAAAGAGATAGTCACACTTGAGTTTTATGATGATCTTTATCATTCAATAAAAATACAAATATGTGGCAACAGCAGCAGCATTTGCAGTCAGTTCTTCAATCAGCTTTCAGACCTACTTGCTGCAGATGACAGAGTAACTTCAATGCTGATAACAGCATGTGTGGATGTCAAACAGGCCAAGCTAGACTAGGCAGGTGAGCATTTTCTTTCTGAAACATTTATTTTAAACTCTAATTATACTATCTGAATTTACTAGATAGATGTCATTCTGTTATTTCCCCAAGAACTCGACTGTAATTCAAGATTGAGCACATCTAATCCTGGTGGAGAATGTATAAACAAGCTCCTAACACAGTCCAGCCCAGAGTTATCATCTAACATATTTGTCAACTACTTTGAAGATTTTTACATCTTTGGCACAGAACCAAATAGCAGAAGTAAGTCTCCTACCTTAAGAGTCCTCCTGGAGGAGAAAAGGCATAACATCTTAATGTTGGGAAAGAGTTCCTGAGCATGATCGCCAATATAGAAGCTGTTCCACCACCCAAACTGTGACCAACTATCACAAGTTTATATTCCTACAGACATAAAGAGAAGTCTGAAACATAGACGGACACAGAAAAAGCTTTGAGTAATTTTTCTGGCAAACCAAATTATTTGGAAGGTAACTTACTGGAGCAATTGTGAAAGCCTGGTTTAAAATTCCATCATTTATTAGCTTTCGATAGATGTAATTTGCAGCTTGAGTTATTCCCTACAAGACAGGATTTAGTTAGAAGAGTATATCCAATCTGAAGTGGGATACATGTATACTTTAAATACAACACCATCACAGAAAAACTTTCTTTTTGCAGAGCTGGTCTTTTCTTTTAACATGCTCCTGACAGAGGTCTAGTTATAACCAAGTGGTCTTGTCCATAATGGTTAAAAAGTTTTTGGAACGTTTAATAAGGACATAAAGTCTGACAAGAGGATTACAAATTCTAGCTTGCAGTTCCAGAGGCAGCATTTGATGCAACAACCAAGTCACTGAAATAATTTGTGCAATCCATCTCACAAGAATACTCTTCCATTCAACTAAAGGATCCCATGTGTTCATAGTTTCCTTACTGCTGAGATGATTTAAAACCAGCTACAGACTGCACACACCTTATGCACAAAGCCGTTCTCTAGAACATCCTCCAGCGTCAAGTCTTCACAATCTGCTGACAGATCAGTGAGAATGTCCTGTAAACAAGAGCTTTTGTCAGAGCCCTCTGCAGGGCTTCACGGCTCTTGGGTCCGGCTCTGCTACTCCACACTGCCACAGGGACATCACCAAGCTGAACTCCAAGTTTGTAAGCAACAGAACACAAGCCACCATAAGCCACCACCCAGGCAAATATACACAGCAATCACAATTCTGATTTCAGCAACTATTTCCAAGCTGCACAGACAGACATTACAAATGCACCTCCACTTACAGTGAAAAGGAATTACCTCTGCCTGCCCTCCATCTCTCTCGCAGTGGCACAGGGAATATTACCCCTCCAAGGACAGGAGGGCTGACAGCTTAAGCCTGGAAGACTCATACCTGAGAGTGAGTTGTTTTCCCGTGTGCCCGTGTAACAAAGTTTCCTCTAGACACTACAGTTCACCCATTTCTACAAAGCTAATCATATAGATCAGATGGATGATACCTCAAAAGACAAGGTTCCTCTCACTGCAACCACAATAGCTTCTTTTTTGTGATCCAAAGCAACAAAAAATGGAATCTCATAGATCTGGAGGGGAAAAAATGTAATCAGTAAAGACACCAACTTTTTATAAGAGTAAACATTTGTCCTCACCTTCTGAAAGCTCTCTTACTGAGCTCTCTTTATTGTATTATGGAAAGAAGCTGAATTATTTTCTTATCAAGTTATTATAAGTGTCTTTATTGCAATACTGAGACAGATTTATGTCAATGGTTTTGTGGCTGTTCCTTTAGATTAGGAAAAAAAAAAAATCAGAACTGAATGCTTCAGGGCCTGCTTTCACTTGGCTTTGCATCTTGCATGTTATAAATGCTGAGGGCAAAAGTAGAAACTCCACCCCTTGCTTTCACTGAATTAATCACTAAGTTTTTTTGCTGAATGCCTGTCCAGATTGTTTACCTTGTTATGAAAACTGATATGAATGAAGTCTCTGTACTGCAGTCCTGTTATTTTTAGGATGGATCCAAAGTGAAAGTTATGACGATCACTGCCAGTTATATCAGAATCTGTTGGTCTATTTCCGCAACTAACAAACACAGAAGAGAAAAACTTTCATGTTCAAATTTTTTAGGTTTCCTTTCAAGGAATCAAACTCAGTTACATTTGCAGAAGATTTCTGCCAGGAATCAAATGTTCTTTTGAAAATTTTTTTAATATATTTTTTTTCCCAGTAATACCAGTAGTCTGATACAAGATGTCACCTCCGCCCACAAACCTGGTTTTGCCGAGCAGCATGCCATACATTTTCAGCTCAAGGACTGGCAAATTACACTGTTGCTACAGGACTATCAGCAGGGTAAACAATGCAATAAGAGAAAAATTCTTAAGACTACAGGCCAATGACAGAAAATACAAACAAGCAAAGGGGAAATTAAAAAAAATTCTGTACAGCAGGCTTCTCTCATGTTTTATCCACTGTATTATGTGATTTGGGTTTTTTTCCAAGTAATTTTTATTTCAGTAGGTTAAATAATTTCATGTTACTAATTAAGAAAATAATGATTACAGTCACAATGTCCGTGGTCACTTAAATATACAGTAATCCTACGCAGCATTATGCATACTTCAATACTGACTGTAAACATTTTTTTAGTAAAGGGAGAAAAGGGAATAAAAAACCATGGAGATTGGAAGGACAGGTAACTTTTGCTAATCCTTTTAAGACAAGGAAAACTGTTGGTACATACTTATTTCTACACATACATGTGCCCAGAAGGTAGCTCTAAAAAGCCTCAATTTAAAATGTTTGGTTTATTTCCAATTCTTCCTTTGTCATTTTGCTAAATGAATTTTATCTCTCCCAGTCACAAGCTTATCTTAAGAAATAAAAGCTAATGTGTTTCTGAGGGTGGAAAGATGTTAGAATTTTGTTTCTACTTTGATGTTTCAATTTGTGAAAGATAACTCCACCAGTCAAGCTCATGTACTCCCAAGAGTGATATAAAGTAATGCAACAAAAATTTTGCTACTGAAACTATTTTATGTCTGCTAATGCTAGTTAAATAAAAGGAAGTTATGTGTTTTTAAGCTCTTGATCGAACCTACCAGTCACCACTGAGCTTACAGAGGGCAGTAAATGGGTTGGTGTATATGTAGTAGGGCCAGCCATAAGCAGCTGCAGCGAACAGCATGTAGTGAGCAGCATTCTCCAGTTCAATATCCAAATCGTCTGTCTGAAAGGACACGGGGAAAGAAAAGGAAGGAGAGCAAGAAAGGGGTGTTAGGCAGCCCCAAAATAAAACCTGAACGCATACTAGTGAAATGAAATGTGCACTACCCAAAAGGAAAACCTCAAGGTCTGAGAAGAATCAGAAATAGCCACTGATATTCCAGGAATAAGCCTGTTTATTTACATAGCTACGCAGCTCAAGGATCTTGAAAAGCTCTCATTAAATTAGTTTCTTCCAAACTTATACATCAATAAGCTCAATACTGAACACGGCATTCACTCCAAATATGTTAATTAAGGATGTCAAAGGAATGGCTAAGGAGCCTGTAGCAGACCTCTCTGGTAAGCATGACCCCATCACACTGGCTGGATTCAAAAGGAATTTGATAGAAATTGATTGAATTAGAATTAACATACTTGGAAGAAACACAGACCAGAGAAGGTGAAATAATTTACAAAGGCATTTTACCATAAAGAACTAGCAAAAACTAGCAAACTGTAACCTGTTTTTGCTTCTTATCTTGTCTGGGTATTTGCAGTAGACATAAACAGACCACAATACTAAAAGACTAGCTTTTCAGTTATGTGCACATTCTCTCCCAGCTCTTCAACAACAATCAAATGTCCTAAATGGCTCCTTTTTGTACTTATTTCCCCATTCATTTAAGTTCTATTTATACAAAAGCAGACAAATGTTTTGACTGCAAACTCATCAAGATGTCTTCACTGCATGTATTAATAAACTGTTGTGAATTTTTACAGTGGTGTTTAATCTTGTTAAACAAACAAAACCAAAACACCCTTGTGCAAAGAACTGCATTTCAACTTGATCTGGTACCACCTCTTAGAGTAATTGTGCCAGAGGCTGCAATGACCCTATCTTACCACAAGGGATGATGGAGAATGACACAGGACTTCTTCAGGCTCTTTTGGGCAACTTTCCATTTTATCTTGCTCTTGATGGAGCAGAGTCAAACCAGCTGCTATGTCACTTGGCACCAGATCAGTGTCCTGTACAAAGAAATGAAAGGGCGCTTAAAACTATCCCACACCTCAACACGGCAAGACTCTCATAAGAAAATGCACATGGAATTCTATTTTTTCAGTTTATATAAATGCATTTCACTCGGAGACAATGTGCATCGGAGAAATAGGTCACAGCAGCATCTAACCTCCCACCCCTTTTGTACACATCGAATGTTTTCTTCAGCAAGACCAATGACAATTCTACCCCTGAAGTTCATCACTTAACAAGATCCCTGACAGAGTCCTTGCTCAGCCATACAGCAAATAGCGGTCCAGACATTATTGATCACTGTTCTATACCACCATGTGAAAAGTCCTCTATGCTGAGAACAACTAAGAAAGATTTTACACAGAAGGCTCAAGGGTTTTTATTCAACTATCTGGGGCAGTTCTCTCTGTGTGATTCACATCCTCGAGCCTATAAACCACTGAGTAGGCTGTAATCAGCATGCCCAAGTACTGCTTCATAAACAAGAACTGTTAGTCTTGAAATCATGAACAGACTTCAAAGTCAACATTGAACCGACTGCCCAAGCAGTAGGTGACATAAACTAGAGCTCAAACACCACTCCCATTTGGCAGTTGCTCTCTGTTGCCAAAAAGCAACTTCCTGCATGTGCACGCTCTAGTCTGGCACGTGCTCAGAGGTGGCTCAGAATGGGAAGACTGCCGTAACATACTGTGGGGCTCATTTTTTTAATAGTCAGAAAGTAATCTGATTCTTTGTTATGGGTATAAGTCCTTACTCATCATCAGTAGGAAAAATGCCTCGATCTTGATAAATTTAGGGAAAGAAAATCCCTTGTTGTCCTGACTAGATACTCACCTAAGGAGAAAGAATGCTGTTTTCTCACAGCCTTTGTTAAAGGGAGAGAAAAATCAGTGTGTAAACCTTGTACAAGAACCACCTTTAATTTTGAAAGTGGCATATTCAAAACCTGATTTCAAGGCACAGGGTAGCAGGGACCTCTGGCTGAACAAAGGTACATGTGTGTTGCAATGTCTGCATTCAAAGCTAGTCAAAAGAGAAAAAAAAGCTTTCCATCTTACTGAGAAGTAGTTGCGGAAAAGCTCTGCGATACTCGTAAAAGCCACTCGATGATCATCATCTTGCACAATACAACAACACAGTAACCTGATTCTTTTTTCCCAGACTCTGGTGGCCGTGTTCTTCACATTATACAGCAACTGCCCTGACTGGCTGCTTTCCAGGTTCCGATTTACACTATCAGTGAGGTAAAAGGTCTTTTTTCCCCCAAGTGGATCAAAGACAATTACAACTCCAATGATGGTAAAGATGATGATAACCCAGCTGCAAAACAGAAGTGGGATAAAAAGTCCATGAAACCAGATGCTTCTGACAAGTATGCAAGAAAGCACAACTATAGATCTTGACAGAAAACAGTTAGGTATGAAATACTGTATGAACACCATCTGTTACAATCTTAAGGGTGCATATTTTGTTATGGGGCTTTCAATGCCCTAGGCACAAGAACAAGGCCATCGGCTCATTTCACACAGGGCACCAAACTCAAACTCACAGCCCTGTGCTTTGGAAATAGTAACCCAGAGGTATGAAGGCTCCATTTTTCACTACCAGTGATCTAGTTACTACCCTCTTCACACTTACCCAGCTTTCTACATTCCCACCTATCCCTCTCACCCTTCCTGATCTTCACCTCCTTTCCTTCACTCTAGCACGTGCTCTCTCAAGGCAAGTAGCTCAAGCTTGTTTAGGGAAGGATATCAACTTGTTCTACCTGTGTAGATATAAAAATTCTTCATCTTCCACAATGAAAACCCTTCTATGAGAAACCACAATCATTTATAAGAAATATCAAAGTCTCCAACTGCTGGAAAAGCCTTCAATAAATACATACAGAAAACACATCAGCAGTATTTTCCATCTCACGTACACTATCAAGCTATGATTTGGAGGGGAGGCACCTCTACCTTGCAATAACTGTCCCCATGATGACATTTATCACAGTCTTCTCACAGTGCACACTGCTGTCTGACACCCATACAGCTCCTAAAACAGCCCAGATGAGTTCAGGCAAATAGAGAAGTAGGCGAGTATAAAGTAGCTTGGGAAGTGATTTTCTTGGGCCTGGATTAGATATTGTTCCTGAAATGACAAGGAATTTAAAAGAAGAACTGTTCATAAATGCATCTTAATTACATAAAGTCCTACCTGGATATATGAATTTTCTGAGCTTTACAGGAAGTAAGGAACTTAATTGAAACTATATTTTCATACTAATGGAAAGCTATCACTGAAGCTGAGAAAAGAAAACCAACAAGAGCTGTGGTTCTTAGAATCTACTCTATTAATACCCAAAATCACTCTCTAGTCTGAGACAGTTCTGCAGGGAACTTGAAGCAGTAGTGCTGCACCCAGCAGAAGCCAAGGCAGCATCCTGGAGCACTGGCTCACCTACAGTTCCTCATGACTTCTGGTCATTTATTTAGCTTTTAGTCGGCTGAATATTTCATTTTTAGATGCTACTTTGCTGTACTACAATGAACTTCTATTTACTGAGTCACTAAATAATAAATTCGCTCACATTTTTATTTAGGAAAACAAAAGTAGCACTATTACCCGGACAAATACTTCTTAAGACTATTTTCTGTATTGTTAGTGTATTAAGAACCTCTCCCTTTCAACACTCTTAGGCAAGAGAAAGGGAGTAATTTTTGGCCAGCTCAACTCCTTAAACCAGTTTGGTGATCACAAGGTAACGAGGTGGTGGGGTGTGTGTGCTCATGTGTAGTCAGGGTAATTTGTAAAGGCTTAAAACACTGCAGAACAAAAAAACCTTTGGAAACTATTTTCCAATTACAAAGCTGTGGTTCATATCCAGTGACAAAGCTGTTTAGAAAGCCCTTGATCCAGTGGCCACTTATTCCCACTCCTGGGTTGTAGCCACTGCAGCAGCACAGAAGCTTACACAGATGCAGTCAGATGGAACTGTGGTCCCTGAAGACAACTTCTTTCCCAGCACCACAACCCAGAGTGTGAGTTCTCCAGTCAGGATCACCACAGGCATCACTAACCCCACATCAGTACAGTGCAAGGGGTGGTGCAAGAACCAGTGCTCCCAAATCCACATGCTATAACCCCAGTCCAAGACATCTCACCCTTAATTTTCTTGGAAATTGGGCCTCAGAATTCTTCAATTTTTCAGTTATTATGGCCTTGTAGATGTACTTTTATATCAAACAGCTCTTTTCTCCTTGGTATTTACATCTCTCACCTCTCTGGTCTGTCATAGTTTCTCTTCATGTACTCTCTATGCATCTTTCCATTTAAATAATTTAAATATTCTATTATTTACAATGTGATGTGGGAACCAATATATTAGAAATTGTGGGGTCTCATCTATTACTCCAGAGACCTCAATATATTTCAAATTAATCTTCCTAACATCACTTTGAGAATGAGGTGCCTCACCAGGAAAAAAGCTTTCCTAGCATTTTTTAACCCAAAATGAACCATTTCTACAAATGACTAAAAGTTGCATTGGGGTCCTTACTTCCATTTAGCCATTCACTTCAAGTGATAAGTCCTGCTCTATTTAAAAGTACTTACTGCATTAGTTTTGACATTTATATGGATCACTTTCCTGCGTGTGTTTTTTCCTAAGCAATCTACTGCAGCTAATGAACTTTCACAAGACATGACTAAATATGCCTATGCAAGGCAAAGCTAACATGGTACTTCAGATGAGAAATTGATTTTGAATAAATTCCCCTAAATTCCTGTCAGAGAGGTTGAGCTGTTCCATTAGAGGTCATGTATTAATGGTGAATGCAGAGGGAGTTTTTAAGATGTTTTGATGGCAATGAACATGTCACTATTAGCTGCACTAAGCTCTTGTATCCATTTATTATTTTAGATTCCTAACAGACGTAATACTATTAGAGCAAATATATTAATGCTGACAGTTTCTCAAGTTTGACTACCATAAGAGCACTTGAATTTGATCTTTTTAATATCAACTCCAGATTAAAAAAAAAATTCTATAATACAATCCTACTAGGCAAATATAAAATATTATTATTAACCGTTTACCTTGCATACTGATGTATACAAGAGCAGATAATGCGCATATTATAGAAGCCAAGAGAATGAGAAGGACGAGCAAGTAGCTGTGCAGTAATCCTCCCCCAGGACAGTTAAACTGCCCCTTATGAACTGTGTAAAGAGCAAGAATTCCAATCCACCTACACGGAAGAAAGATAATAAAAGTTACAGTTGGAAGGGAAAAGCGCATACTGCAAATTGATCACCTGATATGTAGTTTTTATCTTAATGAAAGCATTCCGCAAACACTAATAGAAAGGGAGTTGTTATATAATGAATATGTCAGACTGAAACGACCGCACGAATACTCAGCAGTAATTACAACGAAGTCGTTTGCAGACCGAGCGACAGACTCCCTTTAGGGCACTGCTCATTTCCGCAGGTGCCAAATAACGGAGGCCAATCTAAACAAAAGAATCATCGTATTAATTCTTGAAGTAACGAAACGACATTAGCGCTAGTCAGCGATTAAATACAACTAAGCGATTATGGTTCCGTGCGTACAGAAGGCAGCGCAGTGATTATATGACGCTACGTGATTATCTAACTCAAGGAAACCTTCACAAAACCGCCGCTTTCCCCCCCGCTGATGCAACGCTTCTGATGAAGGGGCCAACGCCGCAGCTGGCGGCCGAGGGAGCCGCTCAAGCCGCAGGAGGCCGC